GTAAAGGGGAGCAATTTTGATCCTCGATAGTGTGCCTTTCCATAGACGGTCTGGTTGTCAGGTCATGCTGAAAGCTGCAATCACCTATGCGGGTCACCAATACCTATTCTACCCCATTAGTGCAGCTTTTTTCGTCTGAAAAGAATCCTAGCTCATTTAGTAGGGAAAATGAGGGCAGTAAACATCCAACGCAAATTTTTGCGGTTAATAATGGAGTCCGTCAAATGCAGACCTACTAATCCACACTGCCCGGATACGCATGAGTGGGAGGAGCCGTGAATTGTGTGCCGTTAACAAGTTTGCAAAAAGGTTAGTCCTCAGAGATCCAGCAATGCTAGGTTTTATAAAGAAATTTTTCCATCACTGAGAAAGAGGCTGGTAGATGGAAAAGTTAGGCGTGCATTCTTTGGAACACCAAACCAATGTGACCGAGTCGTGTGACCGTGTGTGATAGTCTTTCCATCCCACCCACTGAAGGCAATTGACAAACATTCTTATCCTTTCTATCGAATTTCAGTCGCTACAGATGCGTAGTCTTGCTGATCACCCTGAAATTCAGTCTCACTTTTAACTTAGGTCAAACCATTATCAAATGGAAAGCTGAACCTCGGAGAGATGTTGACCTCCAAGAGCCAGGGTCGGAGTTCTGAGTCGAGGAGAATGTCGAAGCCAAACAGCTCGTGAACACTCTCGCGACTGGCAACGTGATGAACCACAAGACTAGCCATCTTAGACACCGCCGAAGCCATTGTCTTGAATACTATCGACTTTATTTCTCTCCACAGCTTTTGCGTATCTCGTCCCTGCTCCTCGAGATATCGCCACAATTCCTCCAAAGACCTTTAAAGCAAAACACCAATTCTATTCTAACTTCAATACTTGTCTCCCCTAATATGTTTATGCAATGACCTTCCATTTTCATAGGATGAGGGAAAATGAGGAAGTTTAAAAATTTCGTGAAATCGCACGTTGTTGGCTTTACGAAGTTGAATAGACTGTGCGAGTAATAGATTCATTGCTGCCGATACCATTTTTGACACATCAATGGATACGTTCTTCATCCTCTACCCACGGCGTCGGATCAAATATTGTTAGATGCAACAAAACCCTACTCAAAGTGGTGTTGGGAGCATGAGGGTACAAAGTTAAGGGAAAATCCTTTCATAACCTACCACTTGTGAGATGGGTTGTCAGTGAGACTGCCAGAATGGCGGTATTGCACATTCCTTTTATTGATTGAATAATTTGTTAGGTGTACAAATCGGTTGTTAACTTGTTCTTGGGAATTTGAATATCTGCAGAATAAAAGGAAAAACTTGCATCGAAAATGCATCAGTGTTGCTTGCAATTTAAGTTTGGCGACCCACAAACCAGTGACAGTTTCGCAATGACATATTCGGTTTCTAATGTTTGCGGACACTTGGTCAGAGGTTATTCGTTTCAGTCGAGGGTTTTAACCCAACCACGCATGTGGGTGTGTTTTCACTAATTTTCTTGACAATTACGATGCCTTACTTCGCATGTATGGGAATCGCATATATTGCTTTGTTTATTAGCACCTTAGGTATGGTGGTAACAACATAAAAGGGGAGCGACTACACAAGTTTCTAGTCTTTAAAAGGTGCTTATCGTCCAACCAAACGCTTTGGACAAATAGTACAAAATCATTGTCAGTAAACAACAAGATGAAAGGGTCGACAAGGTTGCATGACCACACCCAAAGATGGGCTAGTCTGAGTCGCCAGGACTACAAAGTCAACTATGATACGCTGCTAAATTCTCCACAATACCATGGCAAATCCGCCTACATAAATGGTATGAGGTGCGCACTTTTGGGAAGCGAACCGTACGAGGCCATTCTTGTGAATGTAGAGGCGTAGCGGATCCACGCTGGTCATGTAGACGTATAACCGCAGATCAAACTTGTTTCCACCAATCAGATAGGGGTTGGAGATGTAGACCTGGGCGATGGACTTCTTTCGTCTGGGCACTTCTGTTAACCGGTTGACTAGATGTATACCTACTCCTCTTGCACTGGCGGGCTAAAATCAGTGGTGATAAGTGGCCTATTATGGACTTCTCTTAGTAGGTAGTTCAAGGAATTAAACGATTCCTGCCTTTTATGGGCAGGCAATTTAAAAGTTACCATTGCTGCACCGGAACACTGCTTTGCAAATACGCTGATGACTTATTTCCTACACAGATAGCACTCATCTACACTTATCAGAGAACGTTTCAAAGGCTGCACTACAGGCACACCGACAAGACGTATCCGCTCATCAAACAATTATTACTTTACTGGTTTGATTATCCATGTTACTGTATTGCGTTTTTTGTGACGAGGTGCGCTTCGGTCCAATGCCTGCCTCCATGAGTCTTTCAACCTGGAGAATTCGCGCGGCAAAATAAATGTTGTCGGATAGAAGCTGAAATTCTCACTGCCGAATCGAGCGCGCATTTTGGATAGATTTATTGTCAGGAGGTCCTTACGACCCAACTCGAAAGAACCAGGAAAGTGGTTCATCTTTTGAAAGTCTTTTACTTGTCGAAAGAGAACTGGAGTTAGATGTCTCCCAAAACATCCGATCCAGTTGCAGTAGCAGCCTAAAACCGAGGAAAAACAAGCCACCTTGGATCAAAATCATTTTTATAACGAACATGAACAAAATATCTTGCATCACCAATACCACTCAGATGCAGGGAGCAAAATTCTATGCAAAGCGGAAACGCAAACTCGCATACCTTCATCAACGTCATCCATCGCTGCAAAACAAAGCTTGGTCAGATAATTACGTGAACATCCATTAAAAATACGCGATTCGATATGCAAT